CTCGGGCGGGGCCGTGCGTGGCGCCAGGTCATGGCCCCGAGCCACGGTGCAGCTCGGCCACGTCTCGGGGCAGGCACAGCCCATGGCATGGGAGACACCGGTCCTGGCTCCATGATCTGTGCCATTACTGTGCCCTTTTTGGGGGGACAGTGCCCCGTGGTGCTGGGGAAAGAGCGGCCCCTTCACTCCTGGAGGGTCCCCCCCCCAGCCTGTGGGGTCCTGCTCCGTCTCCGTGCACATCGATGGGGGGACACGCACCAGTCACCCCCTCTCCCCCAGCTCACCGCCCAAAGCCCTTTTGGAGGTGTGTGGCCCTGCTCGTCCCGGGAGCACAGGAGGATGCTGTGCGCGTGGACCTTGTGTCGGCTGTGGGCGCTGTGCCTCTGCCAGCTCGTGGGGAGCCCCGAGGAGGTGGGGAAGAGCTGGGGACCACACGTAGCGGTGCTCAGGGAGCTGCAGAGGGGCTTTTTGATGGAAAAAAAACACCGGGCATCTTTGGGACCTGTGGGATGCAGGGCACGCCAGGTCCTCAGCGAGGGATGTGGTGGGCAATAATCCAACAACATCAGGGATGGAGAGAGAGAGAGAGGAAAGAGGGATCAGGGCAGGATAAGAGCTGGTCGGGAAAACTGTCTGCCCTTCTCTGAAGAGCAGGCGTTCTGCAGTCATGTGTCAGGTGAACCCTGGACCCACGGCGAGGGTGTCAGGGTCTGTAAATCCCGGAGGGGGAAAATCCTCCCTCCCTGGGGAACGGGTGAGGGTGCAGCGGTGCCACCGGTGTGGGAGCGGGGTCAGCCCTGCAGCTCCGCTGTCCCATCCTAATCCGTGGCACACCAGCACTGTGCGTTCTGCAAGTGGCAATGGCAAGAGGGAGAAAGATGATTAAAGCAGCCTTTGATGAAGCAAAAATTAATAAACAAGCAGGCAATTGTGCTGGTCTTTATTTACTCCCGGATGACAGCGCGGAGCCGGCGTGGCGAGGCTGATGAGACCAGGCCCCACATCAAACAGAGGGGCAGCGCCGGGCGCGAGGGGACCATGCCGCTGCCTCTTCTCCGACGGGTTTTTCCAGATCCCAACAAACCCGGGAAGCTCCGTGTGGCTATTCCTAATAGCAGGGCCCCATTCCATGCCGGCGGGGGATACTGGGGTGAGCAGGAGACACTGTGTGCCGCCGCGTGCCACTGCGGCATCGGAGC